ACACCAACCAATCAGCAGCAATGTGCAAAAACACACCAACCAATCAGCAGCAAGGTAAACAGATGCATCAGCCAATCAGCAGCAAGGTGAACAGTCATATCATCCAATCAGCAGCAATGTGAACAGTCATATTAACTAATAGGGAGTGATACCGGTTGATAGAAGTAGTAATTGCACTTTTTATAGCCTTAAAACTCTTCCTAAAAGCGATTTTTATGTAATCTTTGTAGAAACGGCAAAATTAAACAAATGCGTCAACCAATCAGCGTTACAACAAACGATCAGAACCATGTGTTTATAGTAGTGATCATTATGGTTAGAAAGCTAATTCTACTTTAAAATTTCTACTGATATTTTCAATTTTTTTGTTGGGTTATTTACGCCATATTGACAAACTCCTAACGGTGTGCAGAAGACATCGAAATTTGTAAAAACGTTCACAAAATGTTTGCGAAAATGCAGAGCCATAACAGTGCTGCATTCGTATTGCTGGACACATTCAGCAAGATGTCCGAGGACGCGAGAAAATACTCTATGAATGAAAGATATACCTTGAAAGTAATGTGCACCGCTATGCCCTATTCAAACTCAAGTTAACAATGAATAGCCTCTCGTACCCAGACACAAAATGTAAATTCAACTGGACATTAGAATTTGAATAAAAAACGTTTTGATGCCTAAAAAAATATACGACTTAAAAAATAGACAAACGCGACAAAGAATTTACTTCGGCGTCACTTCATCACATATTAAAACGCCTCAAACAAAACTTGTTGATTAGCCAAGACCTTGATAAGCCACATCAATTTCAAATTGCACGTCAATATCCATTCCTTTTGTCTCGTAAACCGAGATCATTTATAATGCACCGCGGATTTCTATAGAGATGTCTTTAATATAGTCAACGCAAAGCTGCTTTCAGCTTGTGTATTATCTCCAGATGGTGTTTCGTACTATGAGATGCAAACTTCTACAATATTTAAACATACAACGATGAATTTGATCTCGAATTCAAAAAAATCCTTCATAAGTGACTGAATTCTTCTCAGTAGGTGAAATCGTAGCTTAAAGATGTTTCAGCAGGAATATTTTGAGCAAATGTAATCATCGTTAAAAAATAGTTATAACTTCGTTCGTACATTATTAATGACGTCAACTTTCTACGCTGAAGTTTAAAGACGAAGGACCATGAACAGAACAAATGTTATTAAAACTTCGATTGATTGTTGTTTTACTGTTCAAAATATCAAGAGAAAAGGCATGTAATGGAGGATAAATCAATATTTAACGTTCTGTATGCGTCAGAAACTAATTTCGAGTATTGAAAATGTACAAAAATCAACATGATGGTTTAATGATGTTAACAATGCAAGCGGGTAAAGTCAGTTTTTCTGCCGAAAAAGAGCGATGTGGACAATGACAGTCATAAGTTGTCTGGATTTGAACGATTCAAAATACCATGAATATGCATTTTTAACTGTTACAGGTTACTTCAAATCAATTCTTAATAACTGATATCAAACATTATTTTTCAAAACAAAAGTTATGACTTCAAAAAATCTTTCGAACTCGACTGTAGAATCGACACGCGAACATACTGCCAAAACGTTTCAATCATATTGCATACTGAAAAAATCGGGGAACTATTGACGTTGCACTTACACTTAAATCGTGAAAATTGTTTTTGTTTTAAAATGTAAAACAAGGAACTTAATGTTAGGAAAACATGCAAGATTATATAGTTTCGAAGACTTCTCATTTTTCTTTTTTTTTTGGCGGTAACAGTTAATCCAAATCGACCTCTCGATACTAAGTACGTTGACAACTGTCAAAGCTACACCGAGTAGAATTTGTACAAAAGCTCTTCAATACCACGGAAATTTAGATTTATCATAAATACGTTTTGATCTCAAGTAAGAGATCTAACTACAACGTTTTTTGTTATAATTATTATTGAATTGATCGAGGTTTTAAGATTCAGCGGGAACGACATGAATTTAAACCAGATGCCGTGCGAGAAAAATGGCGATCGTAAATTGTAATTAATCAAAGTTAGCTCAAATAAAACTGCACTTTTGATATCACGAAAACAGAATCTTGAAATAAAATTTGTCTCTTTTAGTTTAAATTTTCTACTATCGTAAAAACTTATTCATAGAAACCCTTGGGAATCACAGCAATTACCATCAAACCACACAAAAGCCTGTCATCCGTCGAGACACGTGGCCTCAAAATCGATCGCTCAACAACAGAAAGGAAAATCCCTAAAATACAAACCATTTAAAGTTGAGATATCACCGAGGCTTGTTTTTTCAGCTGTGTTTATTGTCGAATTTTAGATCTGGTAATTGTTTTCGTCTTCGGTAAATTCAGTGATATTTTTCAAGAACCTTTAAAAGCGCCAGTTGGATTATGCAAACTGTTTTTCTGCATTCATATAGGACGTAAACAATCAAAACACTCTTATACGCGACACTAGAATTAACCAGTAATACAAGTCAGGACGTTGTGAAGTTCAAGGTTAAGAAATACAATAATCCATATATTTATATTTCCATGTAAAAAAACCGAAAAACCACAAATAGTACGGAAAAGACAGTTGAAAAAATGAGAGATAAAGATTACATGTTGTGGTTTGAAACGGGAATCACTGCATCATGATATCGTACAGAAAATGGAATACTCACCAACCAAGAAAACTTAAAATGAATAGAAAATACATTCATTGTTTGATTGTGAATTGCAAACGAATTCCCTCCTAAGACTCCAGTAGTAAATTGTCCAAACGTACACGGTCCGCTTGCAGTGGCTGCCTGCTCGTACTGTTTGAGGCATACTTTGAAGAATGTTTCGCAAGGGTCGTGGCATCGTCGGCGGCCACCAAATATTGTACGACTTCCATCACAACACTGGCCGCTTCGTAGTTCTCCAGCAACATTTTGATAAGATACTAGCTGGATTTGGAAGTCTCCAGCGGCCATTCCGTCCTGTAGAAGAGTCAAACATCAATTTGTCATAAATACACCTGACGAACGAGCTTATTTTACGAACCTGCAGCCGAGAGAAAGACAGCGATAGCAAAAATAATGCTTTAAGCATGAAGAGATGTTCCATGAATGAAAATATTAGCAATAGCAGGGTAGATGTGCTTGAAAGCAATGCAAGCGTGGAGCAATCCCATGCAACATGTATTTGGAGCTCAGCGCGATCATACAACTCTTTCAATGAAAGGCTGGCAATTTAGACAGATGACTTTTAAAGGCGCGGTATAACCACAACTGCGCATGCTCGTGACGCAACATTCTCATCTCGAGTATTTTTTTTCATTTATATAAAGAGAATTTTGGCTTATTTTTAATGTAAACTCCTTGTCAGAACCTCTTATGAGATCATTTGTAAGATTTCGGCTTTGAAACTTCAGACACCGATCGTATTAATTTGGGGTTTTGTGATAGGCGAGTATTTCAAGACAGCTGTAACGGATTGTTTTATATCTCTCTCAGCGGAACGAGTCAGTCTAGATATCCATTGCATTATAATCGCTGTATGACCTAAAACATATTCCAGGCAAAATAGCTGTTTGTCGCAAACTTGTTTTCAGCAAAGTTTTTATTTTCAAACAGCGAATTGTTTGTGAGACAACAACTTTGATTGTGATTAGAACGAAGCCACAAGCACAACTCTACATTACTAAAAGAGCGATTTGTTAGTAAAAAGAACTTCATGGGTCTTCGAGTGGTTCAAAGTTAAACACAGTTGGTTTAATAGCAACAAAAAGAGTTTCAACAAAAGGGACGCGTGCCGTTGACAGTGGCAAATCACAATATATTGTCTACTAGTCACTCAAGCTTGCAAACACGCTCCCTTTACACCGCCAACAAATTGGCGGGAAAATCAGCATTGTTCACGTGTTGAAATCGTAGTAGCCCTCCCGCAAAAACTAATACGAGTATAATTAGGAATTGCTGCAAACATTGATGTGTGCTACTAATCGTCCCAGTGTGGGGTAACGATCAGGCCATTTCAGTTTTAGGCATGAAAAGTGCTTTTTACGGCTCTATCCGAGCGGAAGCAAGCATTTTCCATTAAGCCATGTTTGGTAGCTACCGGAGGGCAAACAGACTGCTTTTTCGTTTTAGTCTAGTATTGTCCTTAAATAAATTAAAATTTTCTCCTTCAAAATTCACAACGTTATTATATCATAGAAGATGGGAGTCTTGATTAACATTAACTTCGAACGAGGTTTACAATGGTAATCACCTTGGAAATAGCGTGTACGTACTGAACTTTGATGCCAGGGGAACATCGATAGTAGCGAAGAACTATTTTCATTTCGAAGGCGGCAAAATTATTCATAATTTTTCAAAATTTGAAAAGTTACACTCAAAACAAAGAAGTTGAGACCCATAGAAAACTCTGAGATTTTTAGAGTAATCATTTTTGAGATTGAGAAAATATTGGTTTTGTTTTGGGGAACACACGTGATTCTTTCGTTCTTGAAAGCAACAGTGATGCCACCGGCGTTCGATCAACATACTTGACAAAAGACTCATTGATTTAAATCCAAAATAATCGAATAGACAGTATAGATTATGATTTAAAGAAAGGATAAAGGAGTTTTAATTTGAATACAATCCATGTATTCTTTGTGGAAATTCAATGTTGTGTAAGGGAGCGATATAATCAAATTTATCCGGCGAGTTATATTGGAAACTTTTTTTTTTCTCACGGATACGAAGAAAATATGAAATTAAAACACAGAATTGGTCTTGCAAAATAACGTGCGTTGATCGGATCGTGTTTTCAATGATTTGTCGTATGAGAGGTGGGTTATAAACCCTCAGCTCACTAACGAATCATTGGTTGATTGCAAACAAAGGGCCGCATGGCTGATATCTACTCAGTAACACAAGGTCATCGCAGTCTCACAATAAGACAAGCACAATATTTTAAATTTAGTTTGAAAAACCATTCGATATAGATCTATGCATTAGGCCGTAAAACACCATGCCATCAGCCATGACATGTCTTTTTTACCGAGTGCTAGTCTTTGGAAGGGGTTAGCTTATGTCCGAGTCAGATTAGCTCCACGTGTGCCTGATTACTCGTTACGACGCGTGCCAGTTAGATTTGAAGACAATAAGAAAACAAGAAGGGCACATGCAAGAGGCGGATATTTAACGATATCTTGGTTAGCAAGGGGTCTTCGGGTCGAACAATTAGTATATTTATACCATAAGATAATAGGCGTGATGGTCTGACACACCATTATAGACCAGAGCAACTTAGGTATTCACTAATCACGAATCCGCTGTGGTTTGAAAGCCAAGAAGCATCAACTAGAGCAAAACAAGGGAATCGTCATGGGATAACGAAAATTATAGGTTTTATTCACAGTTAATTAGACTGAATTAACTCGTGGTTGAGATTTTACTGTGTACCAGAACAACTTTGAAATAACGGGTCTGGTAAAATAATCCATACTACAGCACAGGCGCTTGTATCCGTCAAACAATAAAATCAGACCGTTCAAAAGCCCGCCAAAAATGCAAATGACACTAATTGTATGAACATGTGTCAACGGACTGACGATGGCCACACCCCTTATAATAGCGTACTAGAGAAAACAACAATTTTGAGAATTTTATTTAATTCGACCGTTCTAACAACAAGTTAAAACCTCGGTTTGACCTACAATGTTCTAAAAAATCTTCTGCTGCTTTCCCTATCTTCCCGAACAGAAATAATAAAAAAAAAGTTAAAGTAAAGTGGTTTTGAGACCGTTAGAATCAGTATTATGTCTGTATCATGAAAGAAAAGTTGATTTAATTAAAAAACTTTGAAAAGACTAGTTGAGCACATTGGACAGTAACATCATTCTCACGCTATCCCGGCATGGGGTCTGGCTACAAAGCCAAGTCACTAAGAATGCTGGCGCCGTGAAAACCAATAATGCCTTGGGCTTGTGTGTACACAAGTTAGAACAACTACATCAATGATAGTTTTACAGCAACTGTTTTACTTGTTTTTGGTCTTCTTTACCTTGCCACGCAAAAGTAATTATCGAGCCAGGGAAAACGATTTGTAAGCTTCGTGATGAACCTATCAAGCGGCCATTACAACTGGGAAAGCTTGTCGATTTTCCTCATCACGGAGAAAAATGATATTTTTGCCAAGTCACAATTTAAAAAACTGAGCCTGTCACGTACTGAAGTCACGAAGCGCGCCGGAACTTTATTGACTGAATCCCGAGCGATGGAAAGCTACTCACGGAAAAAGCTGTCAGTAAGCCTTCCAATCGGGTTCACACGAAAAGTAGATCAGAATTTAAGCCTAAAACCTTTTTTTCGGAATTCAACCATGTGATTTTGTTTTATTAACTCATTGATTATCTGATCCTATGATTCAATCGTGAGCGAAGATTAATAACTTTATTATTAGTTATAAAAATAAATATACAGTTGGTGCATGACGTACTGCAACCTTGCCGCGGAATAGGTGTAGTAGGCAGGGCGGATAAAGGATTTTGCAAAAGGTAGGGGGAAGGGGGAAGTTGCACAAAAATTCAATGCCAAAGCTAGCATACATACAACTCAATAAAATCCTCGATAATTCACTTTACTTTGAATATTCTGCAGTTTTAATTTAATTTATTTTTATGTCCGACTGAATCATTAGCCGAAATGGGCTTCCCCTGTCATCCGTCCCTCAACACGAATATAGATTTAAAATAGCCTTGTCCCGAGACCGAGTGTCATTCGAGTCTAATTCTGAAGATACGCTAATCAATTCTTTTGTCAGAAATACTAGAAATGCTATAATAGATTAACAATAGTGGAGAAAACACTAAAACAAATGACAGCATATCATTGAACTGACTTACCTTTATGAATGCTGTGGTCTTGGACTGTGTATRATTTCTCTGGATTTCAGAAAAAATAACAGAATTTCAGAATATATATGTGTGTATATTCTCAGCKATATGGGTTTTTGTGGGATTCCTGTGTTAGGCTATAGTTTTTGTGTTTCATGGGATTCCAGGTTCGAGCCCTGGCGTGGTTATGTTACCCGCTCCGAAACGACGTATTTCGGGGAAAACAATTTTGTAAAAGACTTGACTATACAATTGACGTTATTCGACTCACTAATTACTATCTAATYCGTGTCTCTCTTGTCACATGCCCGTCACGAAATCTAGTCACCTCGACAACGCACGGTTAGTGTTCAGTCACTCGTTCCTGGCCAGTCTTAAGTGCATGAGATCAAGGTTGTAATGCCCTACTTAATTCCCTGGCCAGAATACTTCTCATGGTTTTTAAATGGTGGGGTCATGTGGACCCTCCTTAATTTTATGCCGTATACTGACGTTTCGAGTCAAAAAGTATATTTTTTGTCTATAATAAAGTGGGTTTTCATGAATCATGAGGTAAAGTACGTATTTTTGACAAGGAAAGTGTACTGTAACTATGTAGGTCTTAGTGTAACTATGTAGGTCTAAGTGTAACTATGTAGGTCTAAGTGTAACTATGTAGGTCTAAGTGTAACTATGTAGGTCTAAAAGGTCTAAAAACCATTGAGCCTCGAACCGAGTAAAGATGACATTATAGAAGAACGATCATTTAGCTCAAACGTTTCTGGTTTTTTTTCTACCCCAAAGTGTGGATGGACCGTCGACTTTATATTTTGATTCTAATAGAAACCAAAAAACACATTGCTGATTGGCTGCTGGTTAATCAAACCCAAAAATTCTAACGGTCCCARCACCAACCCTTTATCAGCACGGAATTCGTTACTAAGTCATACTTACCGAACTATTTCCTGGCATGGTTGGTTGTGCACTGTCTGTCACTACTAAAAAGACAAGAAGATCAATTCAATAGAGTGACTTGTTTGCCATGCACGGAAAGTGAACTTTTTTGCCTTTGTCGTGAAGCGCATTTGGAAGGAAATGTTTAAATGCTGTTGGTAACCTATTGTTCTTGCATCAAATGACTTTATAACAGAAAACTCTATTGCCTGGCCAGGTGGTTTATTGTACTTTCCTGGACTGGTGGCATGTTAACCAGTCACTGCATTATTCCACCACGCTTCCTTTAAAAATTAAAATGACTCTTCTTCGCTTAGTAAGAAAGAAGTTCTTTTGGACATCCCTTCAGTGAATGGTGAAAGATCGGTCAACATATGCCAGATAAAACCAAAAAATAAGCAGAAAACAAAAAAACAAATCTGCGAAGAAAGAAAAATAACGATCTCGCAACATGAATTCTAGAGTAAAAGTACAAATCACAAAACGAGAAAACTTAAACAATCTCTAACTTACTTAATCATATATATATAGAGGATATTACATAGGCGCGCGGAGATACGGATTTTATCTTCAAAAAATTTTATCTTCAAGTGAGAGTTTTTAACACGACAAGATAAATTCGTATCTCCAAGTGACCATGTAATATTCTGTTTATCATATAATTATATATGAAAGCGAATTAGAAGTTTCAAATGAAATAAATACTCAGAGGCTCGTGAACGCTCTCATCAGGCGCCTATAATAGCAAATTATCTAGTTAAATACCTTTTTAMTTCCAATATATAGAGAAACCTCAAATTTGTTATTTTCACTTTTCAAGAGTACTGCGGTGGTATATGCATCGGTATATTAAACCTTTGATGTAACCAGTAATGGCTGCAAGGCCAGGATGTGATGTAACAACCAGCATTGGCTGCAAGGCCAGGATGTGATGTAACCAGCAATGGCTGCAAGGCCAGGATGTGATGTAACCAGTAATGGTTGAAAGGCAGTGATATATATATATAGGTATTTCATAGATAATTATATGATGATGAGAATTATCACATCCTGGCCTTGCAACCATTGCTGACTGCATCACATCCTGGCCTTGCAGCCATTGCTGGCTGCATCACATCCTGGCCTTGCAACCATTGCTGGCTGCATCACATCCTGGCCTTGCAACCATTGCTGGCTAAATAAAAGGTGCAATATACCGATGCATATACCACAGCAAGAATGAAGGGCATTGCCACATAATGTAACGTTGCTCAATATTTCTTTCTTTGTAAGATATTGTTAGTATCAATATAGCCACCTTGTCACCCGTTCCGCTCAACAAAAGATTTTTTTATTTACCAATTCCCGTACGGCCTTATCGCAGTTACGGGTGGGTGGCCAGGCCATTAAATACGTGAGGGATATTTGCTTATTGCTAGAGCAGAATAGCTTTTGCTTCGTAGTCATTGGGCTACGAATAGATTACAGAATTCCTCCTAATGAATTAAGCGTTACATTTTGATCATTTTGGTTTTCTGTTAATGAGAAAAATGGTGTTTTTGTTTTGCTTGATTGTTTTGTCTGTACTAGTAYACGTGATCGTACAAATCATCGCTTCGTGTTTCAAGTCAAAACACACCGCGGCATACTAGACATTACTATATAATCAATACACATGTTGACTGCTATTATTGAATAAACACTMATTTCGTACTAATTGTGGAAGAATCAATTAGGGATGGACGTAAAGCATTCAAGGTAATTAGACAAATAGAACGGCGATGAGTGTAAAAAAACCCACAACATTGTCTTACCTTTAGTGAAAAACATTGCCATTATGATATGAACAAGAAGTGTTTTCCATGTCCGGCCCATTTTGGTTTAAATTATCACTTCTCTGAAACATAAATTTAGGGACTATAATCAGAAAAATGTTTTCACTTATGTGTGATCAACGGCAGGTCCGTCGTTGGTGTTCGACCTCGTGGACTTGGCGAGAATATGGACCGATACTTCTTTCATATCACAACTTCACAGATAACTTATAAGGATTTTAAAAAGAGATTTCTTGTAAAAACTGGTTAGGTAACTCCCCCTACAACTAATGTTTGGGTTAATTGAACGGTCCGCCATACAGCCAGGAAAGGCTTGATTTGTTGACTCGATTGAACGATGGATGTTTCACTTTACTCTAAACATCGAAATGGATACATCAATATTGTGAGTAGTCGTCCGATGTCTTAGTCGTTTTCTTGTAGATAGTTAAAGGACTTTTATAGTTGCTCATTTGTCTTTGCCTTGAAGGCACGCAATCGTGGACTTGAAATGGTACTACTGTAACACKAAAAACTCCTGAGGAATGTTTCATCTGTCGAAATGCTTTCAAAGTTTAAAAAAAACAACAGCAAAATATAAACATAAGATTTGTAATATAATGGCACTGCTACAATACACGAAGCACGGGTAGAATGGCATCTGATACTAAAAACATTATCTTTTCACATCAGTCGAGTCAAAAACAAGCTAAACAGCTTACTTACAAAGACAAGCGTCAACGCATCTTCCAACACACTGAAATCCTTGTTAAATCGCAGAGACTAATTCGTTGCCATTCAAAGTAATTTAGCAATGCAATTTTGCACGTTGTTATTGATGTTCAGTTATTCCTAAAAACAGGCATTAATATTTCATCAATTACAGGTGCACCTGCCCCCGTTACTATACGCCGTGTTTTTACTCTAATCAGAGGCCTGCCCAAAAATGTTCGCGAAATTCTTTCAGTGAAATCATTTAGCTAATTGTGACATACCAAAAGCATCTCCTAATTTCTAGGGTGGAAAATTGAACATAAAAAACTAACGGTTCTCCCGACAATAATATGGAAGCTTTGGAACCCTTTCACGGCTTTTCAGTTGATAAGTAGGTTGTGGTATCTATGCACTACTACATGACGTTTATGCCTAATAAAGACTTTGTTCGTTTAAAGCGTTCGTAGCCACATCACTGTTCGAAGCCACTGGGACAAACACCGCTCAACGACTGTGTCATGCTGACATGGTATGCTTATTGGACGCAGTGTCGGCCGATCAATACCGTTATCAGTCATAAGAACCCGGCACATCACCTTGCTTGCTTAGTTTATATTGRAGTAAGTAAAAAAACGRCCCTACAAGAGTTTGCTATAAAAGTAACATTTTACTAGTTTGACGGTTGGGTGTCCTGTGGTACTGCTGTGATGTATTCTAGAACTTCAGCCAACTATGTCTCATTGTTGAACTTGAACTTTCTCGGAACGACCTTCGGGATGACCTAATTAAAGAGTCTTCAAGCAAATAACCTTGGTTGTTTACTAAAATCTTTTCCATCTAATGTTTAAATTTCTAATGAGAATTTTGTGATAAAAGGAAGTTCATCATATTGCTACATTGTGATATACTCGAAAATCTTCGAATGCGGCGTACCGTAAATCGTAATTAAAATGTTTTAGAAATTTTTAAAAGCGTTTTGAAATAGCACCTATCGCTTTTTCCAGTTGTATTTCCAGATAGTATATCTCTTTTTTGCCAAAGAAGCTTTTCAAGCTTAGTGATTTGATAGCGGTGAAAACGGCAAGGCCATTTAAAACCTTCTTACATAATGTGAAATACATATTTCAAAGACGGACGGCATGATTTATGCCTCTGCTATTTGTGCCGGCGGATTTTGCTGTTCTGTTGCTGTTTATTTCAGCAATTTGATCAACTGCTCAAGAAGTTTCTTATAAGGAAGATTACTAGCCTGGCAGTGTTATTCAAATATCATATTTGATTATTTTTTTCTATGCATTTCACTTTTGTTCAATTTGATGTATATTTTATTCAATATCAATCCGGCAACGTTCTACAAATATATATTCTAAAAATACTAATAATATGCCACATTGAGAGAAATAATTCTTTTGCTATTTTTATTTGATAATTATAATTATTAATAATTAGTAATAGGATTAAGATCAAGCATAGATGAATAAAGCCGGTCTGCGGTACTTGAAACCAGTTCTATAGTTTTATAAACAAAATTATTTTGGCTGGAGTGCCATAAAGTCGGCTTTATTGCCGCACCGACATCGAGTCATTTTTCTGGAAAAATCCTTTTTCTAATCGCTTCTTTCAATGAAAATTTAAATAATTGCTGAGGTTTTTTCAATTCTGCTATATACTCCTGATCGGATCGAAAGAGCTCATACCTATAAATGGCGAGAAAATACGATAGTTTTATCATCCTGGTTTTCAATCTATTGTTTTGASCTGATTTTCTCTAAAATCGTCACTAAATCCTTTGTTAGGGTAAMTGTCTTCACTAATTATCGCACTTTCCAATATGACCCCGAGAAATCGCACAATAAACGTTTGATYAGACATTCTTCACAATGGAAAGAACGAATTACAGTGAAAAAGGGTTGGTACTCCGTCTGTGAGTACGCCGCGTTTGAGTATATGATTGCTTTGAGTGTCACAAATAGTAAAAAAATAACAATAATAAAAGAAAAGACGAAAACACTTTCCTTTCAAATACAATTATTTTTTCTGATATCATCAAAGAACACAAAAAACGTTTCTATGGATCAGGGGCCATAATCGTGCGCCTGGCCTAACACTCATCCCATCAAGCTCCCTTTAATTAACGATGATTATGTCAAGACTTGGTTTTCAATGAATTACGCCAGAACTGAATTCTGCAGTTCAACAAGACCATACGAGGGCCGTAACACAGAGAACAGAATTCACCATACTTCCAATTTAATGTGTTTACGCAACTCAAATTAACAGGAATAAAGACCTTTTGTACATTTTATGTTTGACACTTCAAAATTAAACTGATTAAACTTATGAAACGCCCCAATTTCGTGTAACAAATGACTTTCAATGAGTTGAAATAACTCACTAAAACTTTTTGAAAAATTAGTTTAGAATTTTCTTTTCTCTACAGAAGCTTTAAGCTTATCACAAAATAAAGAAAARWARAWTTTTGTGATTTTTTGTAAGGCGAGGTTTAACCACTGTAAACAGTTTACCAGCTGTTCAGTAGCAACGGCAGCGAATGATTTTACTGAAATACTACGAAAATTCACTATAATTTGATCTCTGRCAGAACTAACTTTTTGTCGTGATTGAGGCAAAGTTAGGTAATGATAATTCAAGGCATTTCTCGTTCGTATATTTAATACTATGCGAATGTGATTGAATCTCCTACAAGAGGTTTATTCTAAAACAAACTTTTTTCTACATTTGAATTTGAATGTTTGACGGTTTTGAAGAGAGAATCAACGAAAAAAAAAATCTAACTGAGAACTGTGAACAGGGTCAAAATCCCAATGGAAATATGAATGATTGATTTGAACGCAAACTTGAATCGGGTTAAAACTTTCATCGTTGATAAACTCAAAGAACAGTTTTTGCAGCCTTTTTAAACTCGGGATGAAAGGAATTCTCATAATAAAAAGGAAAATTCATTGGAAGAGTTACCTTTAAAGTATCAATCAAACTTTAGTGTCCTCTGCTGTAGACGTCCAAAGACACTACTGCATTGATGTCGTACGAATGTAGCGTCGATGTGGATAACGTTGCTCAATTTAAACGTCAACTCTTTTCAATAAACTTTAGCCAGATAAAATCCGTTGGCGTTCCAGAGGTTTACACAGTCTGTACACTTAACAAGGCAATGATCGCAACAATTATGACATACAATAGCGATTCACTGATTTTACTTGCAAATTCACCGGTGCAGGTGCATAAGGGTGGCCGGGATGGAGAGGCGCTCGATGACAGAACATAGCCTTTACCATTCACCATTCATAATACTTAAGACTTTTGAATAATTATCTTTGGTAAAGCATGGAATGGTAATTCTWGTTATTTGACAAGTATATTTCATGGGTCACGTGATCTAACCTTGTATCAGGTAAGTAAGTGTGGTTGTCGAGAGTTGTGTCCAGTGCTTCATKCAATGCCGCTATTTGCTGTACTCGTGATGATCTTCAGAGATTTCCTGTAAAAAAAATGAGAAAAGATTTTTCGTATTTTTTTGGCACCGATAAAAAATAAAGTAAAGAACCAAGGCACAGAGACCCCCTGCTGCAGCCAATAAAGTGTTTACAAAAGTTCCAGCAAAATAGATGACATTACAAACAATAGGTGAACACACCAATGCCGCGACACGTCACACCAGCCATAAAATGCCTCGTCTTTTACAATCRTTACTTACAAGATACGACAATAAATATTTGTAGAAACTAATATTCCACTAATGAATGRACATTTGAAAGGTGCAGATAGTAGTCTGGGAGATTAGATATTGCTTTTTAAATTGTGTTGTTTGTCTTCTCAACTTTAAAAGACAGAATTCACAGAGAGATTGTTTTGTTCATCCATCTCGGCGAAACGTTTGTTTTTGTCATAATGAATTGAGTCTTCTTGTGTGGAACAAAATAAATACACGAACAACAAGTCAAAGTTATTCTCTGAAATATAGACATGTATTTACTACAGTCTTACAGAGAACAAAATCGAATATGACCAAAACTAGTAAAAAACAATATAGTATTCGGCGATGTGTTCTATGTCACAAATCACCTGCCGACTCCATATCGATGAATAAAATGTCAAAATAAATCATGATTATAGAACAGGTAGCCATGTTATAATGCTGATAGCTGTACAGAAGCCTGGTTCAAGACCACAAACGGTTCAATGAATGTCACTATATATATCGTTAAGAGTAGAACCGACTTGWAGCACGAAGTAGGAATTCCTCTCTAACACGTGCCTTCAATTGTTCATTTTTGCAGGCAATCATTCCTATGCTTTTTGTTTMATTTAATGATTTCCTGAAAWAATACTTCGTCTAAACGAGTTGAAGAGTTTCAATGTTGTTGATTAGATTCATTTSACGTGTCGTATTTATTTGATAGGCGGGATTTGTCTTTATGGTAGTTTATTCTGTACGCGAACACGAGTATCAATTGTAACAAAAATATATTATTCTTTGTAAAATAACCTGCATTCCCTTTATGAAGTCATGACAGCCGACTACAATACCATCATATAGCTCGCTATCAATTAATCAAAGACACCAGTCTGAGTGAAATGCAGAAAATCTGCTAAATACCAATGTCAAGAAAATAGTGCTCGTCTCTCGAGATCTTTTTAGTCCATACATACATTTCATTATGACTGATAATTCGTAACGTGCACGTGAATGATCGTGTGCCTTTGAAGTGTGCCTTTTGTCAGCCAATTTGATAATTACTACAATTAAGAATATCAATGTATTTAACAAAAGATAGAGATCTATGTATAGGAGACTTTTAAAATACTCAATGCATTTATCAGAAAAAATTCCAACGCGAAACAAAGGGGTAACGTAAAAATACGATCATGTTCAAATCCATCCACGAGAATAACAAATCACGGCAATCAAACTATGAAAAGTCATTCCTGACGATGGAGTAGCGCCTAGTWTCGAACAATAGTAAAAATTACAGAAAARGGAAAAGTTATTGTATAGCTAATGAGTTTTCCATGTGTGTTCGTCAAAGTAACCTGCAAGCTTGACAATAAGACCTGGCTAGTTTATTGTACTCAATGTTACTAAACAGATTGAGCACGTTTCTTTGCCACACGACCACTATCAAAGAGATTCATAACTACCTGCTCCCTCATCGATACTAGAAATAATAATAAAAAGAATATACGAATTGGAACTAGCCGAGTTTACTGAAGTTCAAGAATCAGTCTTATTAAAAAACTGAAAGAACAAGATCAAAACTTTTGGCCAAAATAGGTTGTGTTACTAACATAAGACATGTAAGAGGGACTATTTTTGTTACTTTGGCCGGCATTAGTGAAAAAGAAAGTAATGTTAAAGTATAAATATTTATAAGAAATGAGTCTTTTCTCAGTAATCATTTGTCGTTTTTATTTTTATATCATTACATTAAACTTATTCAATTTAGTACTGCGTTCATGGTACAATTACAAGGTWGTGTAACTTTGCAAGGATCCCGCAAGGATTAGCGCAATTTATTCACGTATTTGACATMAAAACTTCTGCATCAAAATGAACTGGTCGTCAATCGTCCATTTTGTGRTTTTAGAAAGCTTCTTCATTTTATCAGCAATCGCACTTCRTTTACTTTTAGACTGAAAGTCCATTTTGCACAACTTAGTATAAAAACGCTTTAGAAACACTTTAATTCAGATATTTATCTACAAATCTTTTCTACTCATGACATTTGGTATTCAAAGTGAGTTAACTTATAGGTTTATATATAGGCTGAAGCCGCAGCAAACCCAGAATCCTAACGAACATCAAAACTTCGAGGTCACGATGCATAGCTTTCGCTCTAACGTTTTTTGGACTAATAATAAAAAAGACAAAAATCAAAATGCAGTGTGCGATGCTGTTATTAATAGATTTGAACAAAAGAAAATCTCAATCCAGAAGGTCCGAGTAAACGGCAAATGCGCCTTTGACACCGAGTCACTGTATCCAAACAATACTAAAAATCCACATCTTCATTTTTATACTCATGAAGATATATTTTTTGGGAGGGTCATAATGTTCATATCCTATTCAAGGGAAGCCACATTTTTTTGTCTTCCAAGGGAAGGCGTCTATTATTTCTACAGGGTTCAATGCAATTTTAGTGTCCCATTCCTCCAAATAAAAAATACTCCCTAATTATTAATTTTTCTGACGCAAGGTATAATATTAGCGGGACGGGATCATTGATGGAATGAATATTCTTGTTTTATTATCCACACATGATCTATTAGTTATCCACTATGATATGCAATATTCTGATTGGCTACTGAACTGTTGGWAGCATTGAATTAAGCGAAAATCGTCGAAAAAATGACGAGCAAAAGTTTTTTCGTTCAAAATTGCTCTTTGGTGGATAATAAAACAACCAGACCTCTCGGTGTCATTTAGTCAATGGAGGTCCCTGAGTACGGCCCTCAAGGAGTCGTAGTCCAACATAACGTCTAATTGTTAATCATCTACTTTGATTAGCCGGCGTTATTTCTATCATTTGTTAATACACGCCACATATGAAGTACTGTCCTGAATTTTGTCAAAGACGAGAACTGAAACAAATCGCAATTTATTTWCCCTACAAGTCTCTTTATCTCTCGAATATCGATGTCTAGTTAACGGTACATTAAGTGTTTTGATAATCCGCATTCAAGATACCGTCACTAGACATGTCAGGACAGAACGTTGATGTGTATGGAATACAGTCGACATATTTACACTGGGGGCAAAAGTCATTTTCATAAGTAAAAAATATAGTGAAGGATATCGCTGTGATCAGGACCAGGAGWATGAAACACACGACTTGACGCACGTGACGATGACCAGACACCTCTGCCTGTGAAGCCCCGKCTGAYTTAGATACGATGATTGTTACTAAGATACCGAAGATAAAGCCACCAAGATGCACAAAGTTGCCAATGTATGGGATCGTACCCAGGGCTAGATATAAAACAAAACTATAATCAATAAGAGAGAAATTGGAGTAAAGTCAAAAACAAAAGAAGACGGGAAAAGAAAGAGCGAAGAATGGAATGTGAATGGTTACTTACCAAAACTGAATAATATGACTGCTATTATTGCGCACAAGTCTACAAAAGGACGTCTTAATCGGTTGTAATTTTGAATGTAATAGACAAGGATTAAGCCCATGAGACCAAATAGGGCTCCGGACGCACCAACCTGGAAATAGAGAAAAGCKTCGAGTTGTTCAAAACCAGATTCTGTGCTTTGTCACTGCACTTCGCCGCGCAGAAAACTCTTATATTGTACTGCCATCTACAAACTCTTATATTGTACTGCCATCTACAAACTCTTATATTGTACTTCCTTCTACAAACTCTTATATTGTACTGCCATCTACAAACCCTTATATTGTACTGCCATCTACAAACTCTTATATTGTACTTCCTTCTACAAACTCTTATATTGTACTGCCATCTACAAACTCTTATATT